ACTATAACAGAAAAAATAGGTGGGTATTATGGTGGGCACCTGTAGTCCCAGCTACTTGGGAAGCTGAGGCAAGAGAATGGCTTAAGCCCAAGAATTTCAAGTTGCCATGAGCTGTGACACCACAGCACTCTACCAAGGGCGACATAATGAGACTGTCTCAAAAAAAAAAAAAAAAAATCACATCTGGAATCACTGGGCCCATATTCCCTCAAGGCAACAGCTGGCTGGCTGTGATGCCACAGCACTCTACCCAGGGGGATAACTTGAGGCTCTGTCTCAAAAAAAAAAAAAAAAGGGCAGGAACAACCTCTCTTTAGAAGGGACAAGTGCATCCCTCCCTTCTAGGCTCTACTCAACAGCTTCTTTCATTTGCAGTTGTAATTGCCCATCCCCAGCAAGGTCCCAGGGTTTCAGACCTCTATCCTCCCCAGCATTACACATACCTTTTTGACCATAGTTGTCTCAGAAGAATCAAGTTTTGCTCTCTTGGTGTCAGGTCCATCTTCTACTCCTTGGCTAGCTTTGGCAACTTTGGTTTTTTCCCTAGAGAGTGATAAGGGGAAAAAATCAAATTGTACCCTGTTAATCATGCCATTAAAATAAAAAGAGCATCACTAGGTTACAGATAGTGGTGAAGGGCAAAAGCTTTGTAGTCAGATAGACTAGGGTTGAAATCTCAGCCCTGCCACTGATTACCTGACTACTCAGTTACCCACTCTGTGGGAATACCAATCCCTGAAGGCAATACTATGAGAGATACAGTAATATATACTACACAGCACAATGAAGCTCTCAGTAAACAAAAGTGATTACTATGAAGATATTCTACCTGACTCATGAAATAAATAGCCAGATTCAACTCCTCTCCTCTGTTATGGGCAGCTCGTGTTAAAATAATCTGGCCTGCTTTCCACTACTGTGACTTCTTTACCAATTTATAACGTGCCCAAAGAACATTTTCTTAATGCCCAAAAGCACTAGAGTTAGGAGATAATATGGGTTGTGCCTATCCTTCCCCCACTGCAGTTTTGCAGGCAAGAAACTTGAAGACCAGAGAAATTTCAGTGACTTCACTGAGAGGACGAACAAAAGAACAGTTCCCAGTCCCTTGATAGGAAGTTCCACCCCACCACACAGGGCTTCTGCCTCTCATTAGCAAGGCGATATGGGGTCTAGAAATTGTAGCCAAAAAAAAAAAAAAATTCAACTCATATAGTTTTACAATACTGTATTATCTGACATCCTTCATCTAGAAACTACAAGTTCAAAAACACTACAGGTCTCATCATATGAGTATTACCAAGGTCTATAACCTCAGTGTTCAAAATGAGAGGATTAAGTTCTATTTGCTCCACCAGAGCAGTCCATGGACCTCAGAGGTTTTACAAGATAGACTTTCGATGAATGTGCCTTTAGAGTTACCCATCTAACTATTTTCAATTCATTTTACTATCTCTCAATCTGAAAATACATAAGCCCAAGCTTGGTAACAAACAGTTAAAGTCCAACCAGTCCTTCCTATGGAGAATATAAAGTACAAACTGATCAAATACTTATGTGGTGTACCTTGATCACTGTAGAACTCTGGTTGCTTTAATCTTTAAATCAGACCATCATTTTAGAGGGTATAGTTCTATCTCCTGTAATTCTGAACTCTCAATCTATTGTATTCAGTGAGTTGTTAATGACTCAGTTTCACAATGTTCTAAGTATTATAGTAAAATACTTAGCTTTTCTTATCAGTAAATAAAACTAAATTTTGAAAATGCTATGTTCTGGGTAGTGCCTGTGGCTCAGCGGGTAGGGTGCCAGCCCCATATGCTGAGGGTGGTGGGTTCAAACCTGGCCTTGGCCAAACTCCAACAAAAGAATGGCTGGGCATTGTGGCAAGCGCCTGTGGTCCCAGCAGCTTGGGGGGCTGAGTGAAGAGAATCGCCTAAGTCCAGAAGTTGGAGGTTGCTATGAGCAGTGTGACGCCTCGGCACTCTACCGAGGGCAATAAAGTAAGACTCTGTCTCTACAAAAAAGAAAACGCTATGTTCTGACTGGGTACAGTGGCTCACACCTATAATCCTAGCACTCGGGAATTTGAGGCTGGTGGATTGCCTGAGCTCATGGGCTCGAGCCCAGTCTCAGCAAGAGCGAGACCCATTTCTAAAAAACTAGCTAACCATTGTGGTGGGCACCTACAGGTCCCAGCTACTTGGGAGGCTGAGGCAAGAGAATTGCATGAGCCCAAGAGTTAGAGGTTGTAGTGTGCTATGATGCCACATCACTTTACTAAGGCTGACAAAGTGACTAGGTCTCAAAAAAAAAAAAAGAAAGAAAACAAAGAAAATGGCTCAGCACCTGTGGCTCAAGTGGCTAAGGCGCCAGCCACATACACCTAAGATGGCGGGTTCGAATCCAGCCCAGGCCCGCCAAACAACAATGATGGCTGCAACCAAAAAATAGCCGGGCGTTGTGGCAGGCGCCTGTAGTCCCAGCTACTTGGGAGGCTGAGGAGGAGACTCGCTTGAGCCCAGGAGTTGGAGGTTGCTGTGAGCTATGATGCCATAGCACTCCACCCAAGGGGACAGCTTGAGGCTCTGTCTCAAAAAAAAGAAAAGAAAAGAAAAAAAAAGGTTATGCTTTCCCTCAACTCCCAACACTTACTCTACAAACTCATGTTCTCCAAGATTGGCAAATGTGTATCCGTGGTAGCCAAAAACATCTCCTGTAAAGAATTTGATGCTATTTTTGTGACAGATCTGGTCAATTTTAACCATGGCATCCCTGGAGCAGCAAGTCAGACACACCTGCAGAAAGAAAAAAAATTGGCTGGGTGTGAGTTTTGCTAACTGTGAATCATTGCCCTGATGTCTGAATCTTAACAGTCTTTCTATGCATGTTTTAAAGCCCGTTTCAAACTGGTACAACAAGTCCTATGGTCAGAAGACAAAAGAAATGTTGCAGGTTTGAGTGTGTAGAAAATGTAAATTATGAGATCATCACTTTACACAACCCAAATACAATGTCTTTAGCTACAAAGTAAAAGCCATTCAATGCATTTGTTTCTCCTGATCCATAAACACATATACACATTTCACAATGTTCATGGAAAAAAATTTAGGAAGCTATTTCTAGACTATTAAATCTATAAAAATCCAAATAAGCTACAATGAGACATAAAATCAGTTTTTTTAATTGACCCAAAAGTTATACATAAATACCAGGGCTTTTTTCCCTCTTCTTTTGATTGATATGTTAAGGTAAAGAAGATAAACAAGTCCTACTGAAATCATTTTTCCACAGACTGTGGTGTGAAACTTTATCTAAATTTAAGGACAAAAGAAAAGGTTCTAGACTTAGATAATAAACTGGTAATTCACCCAGTGGAATTATCAGTGTTGTTCTGAGACCTCTAGGTTGTGTTCCAATAAGTTAAGATATTGGAAATGGCTAAGTTCTGCTGCACAAAATACCATCTTTTTGGGAGCAGCTTTGCTCTTTTTTTTGAGAGTCTCACTATGTCGCCCTTGGTAGAGTTGCATGGTGTCAGAGCTCACAGCAACCTCAAATTCTTGGGCTTAAGCAATTCTTTTGCCTCAACCTCCCAAGTAGCTGGAACTACAGGCACCCACCACAATGCCTGGCCTTTTTTTTTTTTCCTGTAGTTGTCATGGTTGTTTGGCAGGCCCGGGCTGGGTTCAAACCTACCAGCATACATGGCCAGTGCCCTAACGGCTGAGCTACAGGCACCCAGCCTGGGAGCTGCTTTGTGATCATGGTCAAAAGACAATTTCCAAATTGCACATGCTTTCTCCTGAACAAAAGACATCTTCATTTGATACATCTCTTTGGCTGTTGTCTAGCAGCCTGAATACTGAAATAACACTCAGAGAAATGTGTTCCTTTAGTTTTTCAAAGGATGCAGCCGCCCAAGGAAAAATCACATCTAAAAGGTTAAGAAAGCCACAGGTGAACAAGCAACCAATTGATCAAATGGAATCCTGTAGTGTCAAAAGAGACTGTAAAATCTACAAAGACTAGCTAAACATGTCCCACAAGGCAATCATCCTGGCCTCATGCACATGCATTATACAATCAACAGGGCTCATGCTTCAGTTTTAAGAAACCCTTTCTCTAATTCTACAAGTTCGAGGGACACCTTAAATAAACTAAACATGGTTACTATGGATAAGAAAATGAGACTTATATCCAAATGGAAAGTGTCCGAATACCCGGAGTTAAAAAATAGAAGTGGCT